TTATTTATATAATACGTATATTTTTTAAGTATTTACATTTTTTTTTTTTTTTAGGTTTTTTTGTTTACGGTTTTTCGCTTATGTGTCCTTATAAATCTACAATTTAATAGCTATTTAACAATTTATCATTATGCCTGTAATACTTTGGCTATACATGTAATTGTTTATGTTCTTTCTCTTGTTACATTTATTAGCGTGTAATTAGCCAGTGATGTAATATAACATTGGGTGTTAACTGTGGCATACATTAGTAATTATCTATGCTGTTTTTTTTTTCTTATTATTATAGCTGTGCTATTTGCTGGTAGAGCAATGTATCATTTTATATTAGCTTAGCTAGCTTAACTCATAATTATATATGCTATTTGTTTTGTTACAATATAAATATGATATTAGCTAGTTTTATTTCTATAAATACATACAGCATGCTTAATTATTAACGTGACGTTCTTACATATTTATTATCTTACATCATACTCCCTACTTAATTCTTTTTTAAATCTTTTAATTATATACTTTGGAACCATTTTCTTTTAGTACCTTTTTTCGTGCACCACTCGGCAAATCCGAGGAAATGAATGCGACTGTCATTGTCGTTGATTGCCTTTGTTAGAGTATCTTCATTGAGCGCAAAACCCATGCAGCGTTCGCAATCAAATCTTCTTACTACATATTTGGGACAATCGATTAATATGTGCTCTATAGTTTGCGGTGTAGTTTGATCGCAATCACAACATGGACTTTGCGCTAACTTAAACTTATGCAAATACGCTTTAAATCCTCCATGGCCGGTAAAAATCTGACATCGTAGGTTATTAATATGAACTTTCATCATGGTCTTATATGCCTCAGTTACTGATGGGAAGAATTTCTTCGTCACTCGTCCGGTTTCCGCTGTGGTGTAACGTTCTTGCCAGTTTTGCAAAGTGTTGTCCCTGATAAGGCGCTTTGCGAATGATAGGGGGAAGCAGTCGAATGCTGGTTTTTGCTTAGAGGTTTCAGCAGCTGATTTGGCTAGTTCGTCAGCCCTTTCGTTTCCTGGAATCCCGCAATGTGCCTTTATCCAGAAAAATCTCACTTCACCTTGATTTCTTTTTATTTCTAATATCCGATCCAAGATTTCTACTGCAAGAAGGTGTAGGGTATTAGGGTTCGTTAGACATTCGAGTGCGGATTGAGAGTCACTTAAGATGTTCGCTTTCCTGAGTGTGTGTTTGCTTTGTATCACTTCTGTGGCTTTCAAAATGGCAGCTAATTCTGCTTGATACACACTACAGTGGTTTCCTAGTTTCAATCTTGCTTTGTATATTTCCCGGCCTTCCTTCCAACAGGTAATGGCAGCGCCAACTCTACCAGCTATTTTGCTGCCATCCGTGTAGATACAAGGCCATTCATTTTCCATAGATTTTAATTCGTGTACGGTTGTGATTGAATTGTATGATAGCTTTTGTCGTTCTGCTGGGTGAGGTAGAGTGTATGGGCTAACAGGTTTCGCTAGCTCCCTGCCGGGTAATTGCGGAAGTGGTTTCCCTATTTTTATTTTGTACAGTTCAGCATTTTCTTTTGCTCTTAAATCCAGGGGAAGGATTCTGGCTAGTGTGACACAAGAGACCATGGAGGATGTGCGGTGTGCTTTGCTTATCATGATGCTAAATGTCCTGGTTATTCTGTTGAGCCTAGTCTTTATTTGCTTTTTATCTGCTACAGACCCCCAGGCCCCTGCAGCATAAAGGACTGTAGGTTCAACTACAGTAATATAAATTGTCCTGAGAATTTCTGTGTTAAGTCCCCAGTTCGCTCTCGCTGTTCTTGCCACCTTTTTGTAAAGCTGTATCGCCTTTTCTGAAGTTCTATCTACGTGTTTTATGAAATTAAGATTGACGTCTATTGTGAGTCCGAGAATCGTGACACTATCAGTAAATTTTATTTCGATGTTGTCGAGTGTTAGTTTTGGGTTCTCGAATTTCCTCTTTTTAGTTACTACAATGGCCTGAGTTTTATGGGCTGCCAGTTTCATTTTACGCAGCTTGCCCCACATTAGTATATGGTTTAAAATCGGGTTAAGCTCATTCTCGATCTCTTTTGCTGTTTTCCCTTTGGATATTAACATAATGTCGTCCGCGTATGCCTGAATATGTGTTCCTTTTTCCTCAATTTCTCTTAGTAGTGGGTCTAGTAGTAAATTCCAAAGAAGTGGTCCGCAGGTAGAGCCCTGTATACATCCCTTATTGGTTTGCCTAATAATTTCGTTACCTGCGTACGTAAGTTTTATAAGCCTGTTAGAGAGATAACTACTTATTAATCTGCATATGGATTTATCTACTTTTTTTGTTTTCAAGCTCGTTGATCATGGCGGGCCACCAGGCGTTATCGAAGGCACCTTCAATATCTATGGAGACGACTACAACTATTTCCTTGTTATTTATGCCCTGCTTTATAAACTCTAGCGCATCGTATAAAGCGTCTTCGGTACCTCTCTGCGCAACGAACCCGTACTGTCGACTACTCATTCTGTTCTCCGATCCCAGCTGCCACGACAGACGATTGACGAACAGCTTTTCCAAGACCTTTCCCAGAACGGGAAGAAGTCCTATAGGTCTATATGACTTAGGAAGGGTGTAATCCTCTTTGTTTGCTTTTGGGATAACTCTGATTACTGCTCTTTTCCAAGCTCCTGGGAAGTATCCGATTCCCAAGCATCTGTTGAAGATAGCTAGGAGAACCGTAGGAGTGGCCATAAAGGCTTTGTAGCAGATATCTGCAGTTAAACCATCCTCTCCCGGTGATTTCTTTGGACTCATGGTTTTGAAAATCAGTTGTAGTTCAGTATTTGTGAATTCTATTATAGAGTCTTTATTGTTGCCCCATTCCTTCCTTTGTGTTTCAGCATTACGTCTAATTTCAGCATGTGTTTGTTCGTCAGATTCAGTGTCGTCCGTTGGGTAGAAGGTTTCGGATAATAGCTCTGCTGATTCTGCTGGGGTCTTTATTGTACCGTTCGGCGTCTTCCTTAACAGAGTATCTTCTGATTTCTTGTTGGATTTACGTATGACCCTGTATATGCCCTGCCACATGCTCTCCCGATCTTGCCTACTGCAGAATTCTTTCCAACTTGATGTGATTGTTTCAGTGAGAAGATTTTTATATTCTGTTTTAGCCTGTATATATTCGTCAATTATTGTTTGTTTTCTATTTTTATTTGCGAATCTGACCCTTCTCCTTTTCCGAATAACCTCTTTTTTCTTCTCGTCTAGTTCCTTAGTCCACCATGGTGTTTTAGTAGATATCCTTTTAGGTAATTTAGGGATAGATTTGTCGCAAGAATTTTGAATGCATTTAACATACTGGGTGACTAGGTTCTCTAAAGCGTGTGTGCTTGGTGTGTTTCTGACTTCTTCCTCGGTGATATTGTAAATTTCCAGTTCCGCTTTCAGATTAGAGGCAAAGTCTGTCCAGTTAGCCTTACTTGTATTGTATATACGCGTAGATTTCCTTTGAATGCCTTCTTCTGGTGAATTGTCAACTTTTATATTGTATGTAATTGTCCTGTGGTCTGAAAGCGTGACAAAATCTGGATTAACAATCCAATTGGTTATTTTATGTAGTAGGCTGCTTGAACACGCGGTTATGTCTACGATGCTAGTGTAGTCTTTATTTGCTCTGCGCGCCCAGAAAGTGGGTGTCCTTCCTACATTCAGTATGTGTAGTTCAAGCTGGGCTAACGCTTCCGAAACGGCTGTGCCCCGTCTATCCTCCACGTTGCAACCCCACCAGGGACTCTTTGCATTGATGTCCCCTCCTAGTATAACGTGCTTCGTATTTAGGATGTTTAGGAATTTTGCTATCTTCCTTATGTCTTCCTCGACGTCTTGGTTTCCTTCCATATATGTGTTTACAATTGAGATTTCAAAATCTTTTATTTTAAATTTTAATGCAACAATATTTTCCGTTATTGTTTCTGGATTAACAATTAATTGTATATTTGGGTCAACGACAATGACAGCCGATTTGACGGGTTTTTGGATGTCGCTGGTATGTTTTTGTATAACTCTATATTTGCAGTTAACATGTGCTTTGGCCCCTACATAGGGTTCTTGGGTTAGTATGATCGATACCTTTTGAGTTTCAGCCGCTTGCAAGCATTCCTGGAACGCTGCGTATCCTCTACCAAGGTTGATTTGTGCGATTTTAATTGTGCTGTCCTTTACGCATGAAGTCCTATGTGGGAGGGAATCGGTGTCTTTAGCAATATGTGACAGTTGATCTAGCTATCCGATCCCATTTTCTCCACTCTAGGCATTCAGGGCTGTATGCAGGGTGAGCACAATTAATTTCGCTACGCTTTTTATCTATGCAGTTTATGCACTTGGGTGCTTTGTTTCTGTTATGGCACTCCCTTGTGTCGTGTGCTTCGGCGCAATAGCCGCAATTCATACTTTGAGCATTGCATTCCCAAGCTCTGTGAGAAAATCCCAGACATCGATAACATTGAGTTATAGGCGATTGATCAATGGCCGGTACTACTTGGAAGCCGATTCTGATCTTTTGATCTTTGAGTTTTTTCCATATTTGTGGGTTTACCTCCAAGACTACGTTGCTTGTAGAGCTGGTGCGGCCTTTAGTTCTCCTAACTACTTTAACGTGTAGTTGTGACGTTGCTACATCGTGCAGGAGAGCTCTATTCTGTTTTATAATAGCCTCTTCAATCTTCTTGTCTGTGAGGTCGAAGACCACGCCAATCAGTCGCAAAAGTGGGTTCTTTGTAGTCGGCCTGCAGGCTGTTAGATTGGCTGCAGTGCTCCTTAGTTTATCCTGAAGGATGTCTCTGTCCGTCTCAGACTCGCAACTAATGAGTACTTTTTGGTTCTTTGCCTTTTTTATATTACTAACGCCTATGCCCAGCTCGACTACGTCGATCCCGCTCTTAACCTGTTTTATTATATCTTCACTTGTGCTTCTCGGGTCAATTGATTCAACCAATATTGGGTGGTGTGGCTTTCTCAGGACTTCCGAGAAGGTGAGTGGGGGGTTCTATAATTATGCGATGTTGAGTGGTGTTTTTGTTCCTGATCATTAAGGTCTTGTGATTTGCATTTATGTTCTGAAAGATCTGCTTCCCCGACATATAACTGGTTTTTCAGCTCTTTCCTGAGGCTTTCTATTGCTAGTCGGATTGGGGCTGCTGAGTCCACTGTGATATCTCGTAGCTCTCTGTTTTCCCTTCTGAGTTCTTCTAAGTTTGCTTGAACCGAGGGCAACGGAGAGTTAGAGGAAGCGACAGTTAGTTCTTTGATGTCTTTGGACATAGAGTTAATTTCCTCTCGTATTTCGGCTACTTCCGCATTTAGTTGCATTCTCAGGTCAACAACTTGCTGGTGGAGTAGTTCAGTTTTTCGGTGTTGTTGTTCCACACTCTCCTGATCGCGAAAATCTTGTGTAAGAGGACTGCAAGGTGGCTGAGTAGGTTCCTTCCTCAGACCGTATTCGTTGAATACTCGACGAAGTTCTCTCAGCTCTTCAACAAGATGAGTAGAGCCTGATTCTTGCCGAAATTGCTTTAAAAGAGAGTCAATGTTACCTCGAAATAGTTTAAATTCCTCCGTTAAGGCTTGGATTTGATCCTTAATGGGAGGACCTGTGGATATTTCGTTTTTTACGTTCACAACCTCTCTTTTTGTTGCGGTGACAGCCTCACAAATGTCGTAAGACAGTATTAATCTGGTGGATTCCGTTTCCTTCTGTAATTTCTTAATGTCTTCTTTTAAGAGAGCATACTGTCCTAAGGTTTCGTGCATGAATCTCGCGTGTCTTTGCGTGAGCCTTTCGGACTCGCGGGAAGTGTTCAGTTTCTGCTTGTTAGATTCAAGCATGTGCAGCATTCTTGAATCAGATAGTTTAAGGACCATTTCGTATAATATGTATAGCCCCGACACGACACTTTCTCGAATTTCTCTTTTTAAGTTGCTAGACTTTTCTAACTCTGCCTTAGTTCGCTGGAATATTTCGTTCGCATGTCTGGGCAACTCATTTAGTAGCATTCGATTTCCTCCAATGGATCGTGTGGAGGCGTCCAGAGAGGTGTTTGTGTCTCCGCTGTCGACGTCCGAGTCAGCGGTATCCTCCGTCTCGGACACGGCTTTTAAGGCGTCCCTGGATTCAGCAGCTTTCGCTTGTCTTATTTGTGTACGTATCCGATGAAGACTCGTGCCTGGCCTCGCAAGTACTGGAGAGGACGTTGTCGCTTCATCTAGGTTGGGCGATGACGAGAGCAGGTCTGGAGTGTCTGATTCTTCTACCGCCCTTTCATCGCGTGCTCCTCCATGGGCACTTCCTTGAAGTTCAACGGTCCCCTGTTCCGTGGATTCTACGGGCTTCCCATCGAGTGCCTGCAGACTCATCTGTTCTGATACTTTTATATCTGCGCTGCTTCGTTCAGAGTCTTTTAACTCTTTTGTGACTGTCTTCTTTTTTAGTGCTTGCGGTTTTCCAGAGCAGCTAGAAGTTGGTCTTTTCGATTTATCCGGCATTACGCTTCTTTCCACTTCGCTAGCCCTAGAAGAAGTGTGGGTGAAACGAGTGATGGAACTCTGTTTGGAGGTAAGGGATAGTACTTTAAGAGCCTTTTAGATAACCAAAAACTGCGATTAAATCGGCTTAGGTAGGGCGAAGTTACGAGTCTTTGAAAGTTTTCAAGATGGCGGATGACTTGGCCGGGTCGAGTGATTTCGAGAATAGCTTAAAATAATAGAGGACCGTTTGCCTTTGCTTCTGTTGAGAGCCGCGTTTAAATCCAATCAACGGTTCCGAAGTTATAACGAGTTTTGTTTTTGCAAGATGGCGGTCCAAGATGGTGGTCGATATTTTAAAAAGGGTATATTTCCCTCTTCAGTTATAACAAAATAGTCGTGTTTGGACTTGTTCAAAACGTCTTTGCACTAACTATTTTATTCTATCGCCAGTTTGTGTGATTTTTGGCGATTGGGGTTTTTGATTCCAGATTATTTAGCTGAGAAATTAAAGGTATAATAACGAAAGTCTCACGCTTCTGTGATTAGCGGTTGCTGAGATATGAGCCCTAAAAGATATCCAATATGGCGGACGAAATAGGAAAGTAATAAATCCTTATAACTCGGTAACGGGAGGTGGTAGGATAGTCGTGTTTGGGCTGTAACTATGTAGAATTTCACTACCAAACCATTGGTGATATTTTGTAAGGGAAGAATTAACATGTACTGAAATTTCCTGAAAAAAAACACTGAAAATTAATAACTTTCTGGCGAAAGGTGATAGTAGCGTTCTGAAAACGAACTCTTTCTTTTTTTTTTGGTTCTTAGTGCTGCAGGATTATGCTGTGAAAGAACTATCGCCAGCCTGTAGGAACATAGAGCCTGTCTTAGTGTTCTCAGGAAAATTCTAATATTTCAAAAACTTTTCGCTCGAAAAATCCGAAACCTCGTAAACAGATTAGAGGTTAGTATTGCGACTATTTTATAAAATAAAAATGATAAGTCGTCGATTCAGATAACTCGCAATTTACAGGTGAATTTGAATTAGTGTTAATAATTTTGCGTTTTTGGCTATATCTTCTAGAGTACAATGCCAATTTATGTGTAGCCAACACAAAACGTCGGTTTAAGTGTGTGCTATGTTGATAGGTATTCAAATTTAGCCGCACGACTGCGGTTTAAATTTTTCGTGCCACGTGGTTTTTCAGTTTTCGCCCAATAACTCGAAAATTAATAAGCGAAAAAATCCACAAATCACGCTATATTATAGAACTTTCAGAGTGCCACAAAAATAGATATTAAAATCAGCAGGTCGTCGATCTTAAATCAGCGGCGTACGCAATTTTATGTAAAATTTTAAGTAAAATTTTACCTGTTATGCAGTACCACCGGTATGTTTTGCTGAAATATCCCTGTGACACTTTACTTTTCACAACTGACACAATCACGGGCACAAAGAATACACAGAACTGCACAAAACAACGCTTGTTTCACCGATATTGGATATCTTTTGCCTATTTTTCGGATTTTTCAAGCGCGGAGCAACACGAAAACGATGCGTCTCGAGAGGTTAGGTTAAGAAGATCATTTGTTTCCCCGGGATGTAGACGACGTTTATCAAAGAGATCTGGGAGTATACGCAAACAGTCAGGGGATGGGATATTTGTGAAAAGACTATCAACGTCTAAAGATAACAACATAGATCTAGGTGGGATACGAATATCTTTAATTTTGGAAATAAGATCTTAACTATTTTTAAAGCTGTAAGTTGGGCTGAAACCAGATTTTCCCCGAAGGAGGAGTTTAATTTATATATATATATATATATATATATATATATATATATATATATATATATATATATATATATGACCGAATTTCGGCTACGGCGGCTTGCCTCAACGGAGACTATCCATCGGCGCAGGACAGGATTATAGTGCCTAAGTGTATGCGCTAGCACAGGTGCACTCTCTATTCCGTCACTCTTATAATCCCATCAGACGGTAAACCGACACGACCGGTGAGAGATCAGGCGCAGGACCAACGGCTTTACGTGCTTTCCGAGGCACGGGGGTGAGAGACCGCCAACTTCCTGACTCCGGGCAACTACTGAGAATGTCTTGACGGAAAAACTCAATAATTAATTTTATGGCCCGACCCGGGATTCGAACCCAGGACCCCATGATCAGCAGTCGCACTACTACAACTACTAGACCAACGAGGCAGTCAATATATATATATATATATATATATATATATATATCTGAAGCAACAAGTTTATTCGTCTGATTCTGAGTATTCGTCCAATTCTTACTCTTACGACGGATATAAAATATATGAACAGGGTTTTTACTATGATTTAATTATTACTATGAATTTTATAATATAAAACAATGCATATGTAGGAATGTGTTTAAGGCGTTTGTATGTTTTATTTGAATGTTTTCATACACAAGATTTTCTATTTAAGCTTAGAGAGTTTTCCAATCGACCACATCTTAATAAGTAAGCGTCTGCGATGTATTGTGAGATTTCAATTAATTTGTAGAATTGGAACGTTCACTATGTTTATTGGAGTTAATTGATACAAATTTTTTCTTAGAAAAGAACAAATGTATGCTTAATTGAAACTGGCTAGCAATACTTTGTAAGAAAATGAAATAAAAATGCAAAAAAAAATAAAAAAACCTTAATAATTAGCAGAAATCTGCAATCATCATAATGTAAAGATAGTTGTGACTCGGGAAGTTAATACCAAATACATCCCAGTAGTATGTACAAGATAAAATAGATAAACTGGAAAAAAAAGAAATACCTACCTACTTACCTACGCATCACTAAAAAAAATACTTTTGAAAATTGCCCTGACCTTACTTAAAACCATACAGGAGTATGGTACACACTCTTCTTCTTCAGCAGTTCATAGAAGTCCACTGCTGGACATGGGTTTCTCCCGTTGTAGTCAACATTTCCCATAACCGTCACGCTTGCCAGGCGGATTGACGAATTCATTGTGAGACCAAGCGTCTTACACCTTTGGCACCACTTTTCCCCGTTGCCACATTTGACACCATGGTTAACGACATGTTATATTATATTCACTGGAAGTCATAAGACTTTTCTAAAATTTCCCATAGTCGCCTCGTACAAAACCCAATAGAATTAACTTATTTTATTTATATATTTATTGTTTTTTTTTTAACAAAATAAGGGTGACGGACCAGCACACCATGGTAAGTGGATGCTGTGGCTCAGACATGTTTTATATGAAGTACATGTGACAAATGAGCATACCGATGGTAAGTGGATGCTGTGGCTTAAAGATATCACCATCTATTCTCGATTACGAACAAAAATGCTAATGGTTCTAGTAAAAAGGGTCTCCGGTTCTCTTCGCCCACTTTACGATACAGCAGCATTAAACTGCAATTTTATGCTAGTATTCTGCGCTCGTAGTAGTATTTGTCCGCCCTCGTCAAGCCATTATATTCATTATATAATAAAGCTCCTTGCTCAAACATCATAATGGTGTACATTCCTATAAAATTTTCATTTCTTTAAAACCACTAGTGTCTATTATCATCATATACGTTTGTATAAATTGTAATGTTCAATTGTGACATTGAAAATAACACCCCTTAGAAAGCTATACACATGTAATTTTTCATTACAAAAGAATTCGATATTCGTAGTGTCTTGTACTCGTAACTGTCTGTTAGTTAGGAACGCTGGAATAAAATATTGCTATTTATATAAAACTGTGTTAGATGTGCATTTATTTACAATAATAAAATAATGTGACACTGTGTAATGATTTAATGATTTCTTAAATTTACGCGAACACTACACATTGTGTACAACAATGTGACACTGTGTGTTAAACAATTCTTGAATATTATTATAATTACTATTTACTATAATATCATTATTAACAAATATTAATGTTTATTATTCTAGGAATATTTTATATCCAAAATCACATTTTGCTGCACTTACCACTTATGACGCTAACGATAAAAGAAAATAGAGTAAATTTAAAAATGGCATGAGAGACAGAAAATAATCAGGTATAGTCATAGTAAACTATTAATAAGTGATTTATTATTAGAACTAGTGGTTGTCAAATGGTAGAAATTCGACCGTAATTTATAAAATTTTAGGTTTGAATATTAAGCAAGTTGTACATAACTTTCAACTACACATCAATATATAAAACAATATATATTATACAAAATATAAAATAAACGCTTTTTTGCCTTGACATACATACACTCGACGTAATAAAAAGGAACATTATTTGAAATAGGCGTATCTTCCAGGAAATGTGACATCCAGCGCTGTGGTGAACTATGTCCGGCTGTGGACAAACATTTGTACATGTATTCTTAACCAGCTTCTCACATGAGTAATAAAAATATATATTTGATAATATTTTTTATTAAATTCGCTATAAAGCTTTTGTCATAAAGATTATTTCAACAATGTTGTACGTAATTGAGTTTTTACAGCGCGTAGCGCGTTATTTCTTTTGGCGGTAGAATTTATGTAAAAGCAATGGTGAATTTTTTATTGCATACATCTTACATAATACTTTTTATAAATCACAAGCCTTCTTAATAATAGGTCCGTACATATGAAATTGGCGTTTTGTAAGGGAGGAATATAAAGTAATTTTTTTTTGTAAAATATATTTAATTAATCAAAGTATGCACCGTTATTATCTATGCACTTATACCATCTCATAGGTAGTTCATTGATCCCTTTACTAAAAGAACCATGTGGGCGAGAATCAATAAACTCTTTGAAGGCGGATTGGACTGCCACATCGGATTTGAATTTTTTTCCTTGTAAGAAGTTGTCCAAATTCCGGAAAAAATGGTAATTTGTTGGAGAAAGATGTCGCAGATATTCCAATTGTAGCTCATCTAACTTAGTGGTTGTTTGATGTGCAGTGTGTGGTCTTGCGTTGTGGTAAAGCAGCAGTGGCCTAGACCGATTGACCAATCTCGGTTGTTTAGCAG